GCTTTAGAAACAGCTGATCGTAGTCAGTAACAAGACCAGTAGTTTTTAATTAACAGATTTCAGTCAGCTGGAACAGGTTGCAAAGGTCGATCAGACACCAAACCAAGGTTTCTGTGACACAACGTTTGACACTTGTCACACGACGTGTGATGTGTGACATTATACACGCTCAAATGACACGTTGTCACTGTCAAGAAACTGTCACTCCTCTCTGATATACGGTAAATTCTGCATTGGGCAACCGGGTTGAATACAGGTCATGCTTGATTAAAAGTTACACGAATAAATATATTTAGTCTTTAAAATTATTGTCTGGGTAACGGAATGGTAGAGGAGCTTACATTTAAATCTGAACATTGCTAGTTCGAAGCTATTGTTGATTCTATACCCAGATGGGTACTGTAGGCTTTATTAATTATGCTATCTAAAAAAAGTAGACTTGAGATAGTGAAAACACCGGAGTTTGAGCTGTTTCCATACAAAAAACGTAAGAACTCCAATAACACATAAAAAAAACTAAAGTTAAAAATATTCCTTAATTTTTACCACCGTTCCTAAACAAAAAATAGTGTTTTTATTTGTGTTTTCTTCGCATTATTCGCTATTACAAAGTAAATTTATTTCGGTTAAAAAAATTGGTAGACCATATTTAAAAATATTTTGCTCAAACCTGTAAGAGCGCTTAAGCGAGATAGTTTGCAGACCCAGATGCCGTCATTGGGCTATGAATTAAAGATGCTATGGCAAAAAAGGTTGACGATAGTAACAAGACCAGGGTTTGGACAGTTCTCTTACAAAATGTTAAAAAATTCCACTGGCATAGCCAAAAAAATTACACAACTAAAACATAAATATAAAATATTATAGGCCTATTGTCTTCTTTATAATAGGGGTGACGCTTATAAAATAAATTATCCCCACAGCAAAAAAGAAAATACACTAAGCATAGCCTACGAATTGTTTTATTAACATGGTAATATATTTACCTAACCCACCATGTTAAACTTCCCTATCCCAAGCGTGATGTATACAACTTCTTTACTTCTCGAGTGATGTAAAGTTGAAAAAACTCACTCGGTGGGGTAATGAAACCCATTTATATAACATTGAGTGCTTAACTTAAAAAATATACCTCCATGGCGCCAACGACGTTCAACGCTAGAAATCAGCTGTGCGCTTGAATGTTATTGTTATGCTTTATAGTATTTTCCTCACCTAGCTTTTGTTTGTAAAAGAACGTTACTGTTAGAAGATGAGAGAAATGGATAATGAAAAATATTGTACGTTACACGTTACCAAGAGCGTGTTTACATCACTTAGGTATTTATTTATTTATTTATTTTGAGGTTGGCGGCCTCTTTTAACCTTGCATTTGCCCATCCACATAGTCTAAGCGCCCGTGCGTGAATCGTTTACAGCAAAGCAAGGAGTGAGCCGGCACAGTACAAAGGTGAACTTTACTGATAAAATGTTATCGGCAGTGACCAGGATCCGAACCCACGACATCGCTGCCTTGGGCCCGAAGTCCGTGACGCTACCAACTGAGCCACCGACTCACCTATGTAATTATGCAACTCGTTTCCGCTCGTTGCCGCTCGTTGCCGAACATTCACCTGCGTGATGTAAAAACGCGCCTACTATACTTGTAATGTAAATAGCTATTACGTTTTTCTATTAATAGCTCATTAAAACACGCCCACTGCCAATGACGCACAAGTGCGTCATCATATGTCAACAGGTATATAAATATATGACGTATATAATTAAATAATATATTTGTATTTACAAGCTATAGGATATAATTTATTCATTTAAAAATAAATTAGCATTCCAGATACATGGTTATATGTATTTTTAAGTTTTTTAGCCATATATAGGCCTAAAAATATAATATATTATTAGCAGTGAATGGGTTTACAATTTGAACGAATACATTTAAAAAATCTATTGTAAGCCTAAATGAGTTTCTATAATTTAACAGTTTATTACTGTGACTCTTTTAATCAGTAGCTTTAAATAACAATTTTTTTTTCTGATCTTGTTTATGTTCATTCGTTAAATCCACACAAAGCTACTGAGAAAAGTGCACAATAAATAACCTACATACATTAGATATAAGTCATTTATTATTTTTTACTAGCATAAAACTAAATTAGTGAATGATTATATGAACGATAAGTATAGCTACATATTTTTAGAAAAACAAATACGTTTAAAATACTTGGATATTACATAAACACTAACTTTAGTACAAACAATCTACCTCTAATGTTTAGCCTGATAGAAAATTAGATTTATTTTATGTGCAGTAATAAACATGCTTTACAGCACTTTTTACTTAATTTCAATTCTACATGTAAAGGTAAAAAATATAATACAGGAATACAATGATATACTTCGACTACCACATTATATGTACGCATTGTGTTTTTTGTTTCGTTTTATACAAAACCATTATATTGTATTCATGATACTAAAATAGACCTCTCACGTGAATTGACCGACTGAATCTTTTTTTTTTTTACAAAACTGTATTTAAAAAAGCCTCTTACAGGAAATGTCACTATCAGTACTATATTTTCTCCCTTAGCTTTGAATACTATGAGAATAAATGGGACATAAAAGACGCTGAAGTCTCCATGCGGTTTGCCTTAGAAGTTGGCATATTCAAGAATAATCAGTAATATTTCAATAATAAGTCAGTGGGCCAACTAGACTGTAATTTCTGACCTGAAGGCGGGATCAGATTCTAGATCCCGGTATATTATGAAAAATTTAAGAATCGTAATGGAAATGTCTTCAATAATTTCTTGAGTAAGAAAATAATACGTTCCGTTCTTATCTAAATTATTAAAAAATGTCTTGGATTTTTATGTGCAGCAATCGACCCATAAATATTTATTTTTATATGCATATTGGGTATCAATTCAAAGCTCCTATGCACTAGATGTGCTTTTTGCGGGTTTGGATGATATCCTGTGAAAGCACTTCGTCCTATAGGCTTTTAAAATTTCATAGTTTGTGCTGAATTCTGTTTTCAGTCATCTGAACCTTTTAAAGTTTACATTTGTTTACATCAAAACAAATGGCCATGTATTTTGTTTTCATCTATATGAAAATGGGATTATCTGTAGTAGTTGGTGATGTTTCAGTGAATTCAAGTAAAATTATGTAATGTTATTTGTATACAATGTAAAGAAGAAAATGATTTACGTTAGACATTGTGTTGTAAAAGGATTTTGTGTTTTCATAGTATGTTTTATTGATGTTTAGGGAATTCTAGTAAAATATTGTAATGTTTGTTTGTGTAAAATGTAAAGAAGAAAATTATTTGCGTTGGATTTAGTGTTTTCATTGTATGTTTCATTAATATTTGTAAATTTTCTAAGATGCCTCGAAGAGATCGCGCACGCAATTGAAGGGTTCGCAATGAAAATAATTGGGATATGATGAGACATAATCGTTTAACCCTTATCAACTATACAGTGTGTAAATTAAGTATGGAAACAAATCTGTATTTTTAAAACCGAAATAGATAGAAATATTCTATTTGTGGCAATAATAGTTAACAAAGATTCCGCAATTTTTCACATGAAAAATATTTTTTTACCCCCCTAACAGGGTAGGTGGTAGGGGGTGACTTATTTTTTTCAAATAGCAACCCCTATTGAGTGACCCCTCATTTTGAAGAGTTTGTCAAAAGAAACACAATGACGCAAATCCGAGGTGAATATCTCACTCCTAGCCCAAATGGCGGATATTCCAAAATTTGATTTATTGTACGTGAAAAGCACCAATTTCACAAATAATGGAAAGAAATCTGTATTTTTAAAACCGAAATAGATAGAAATATTCTGTTTGTGGAATTGATTGTTGACATAGGTTCCGCAATTTTTTTAATCAACAATATTTTTTCAACCCCTTTAACAGGGTAGGGGGTGGGAGTGACTTATTTTTTTCAACAACAACCCCTATTGAGTGACCCCTCATTTTGAAGGGTTTGTTAAAAGAAAAAGAATGACGCAAACCCGAGGTAGATATTTCACCCCTAGCCTAAATGGTGGGTAATGAAAAATTTAATTTTTGTAAAAAAAGCCCATTTTGGAATATCCGCCATGTTAGCTAGGAGTGAGATATTCACCTCGGATTTGCGTCATTGTGTTTCTTTTGACAAACCCTTCAAAATGAGGGGTCACTCAATAGGGGTTGCTATTTGAAAAAAATAAGTCACCCCCTACCACCTACCCTGTTAGGGGGGTAAAAAAATATTTTTCATGTGAAAAATTGCGGAATCTTTGTTAACTATTATTGCCAGAAATAGAATATTTCTATCTATTTCGGTTTTAAAAATACAGATTTGTTTCCATACTTAATTTACACACTGTATATCAAATATACAGAGTGAAACGTAGTTAGTGTAAAAAATTAATTGTGTTAAACTACCTAGTATTGGTGACAAATTGGCACTAATTTAAATTTCCATACCCTCAAAGGTAGGGAATAACAGACAAATTAAGATTCCACCCTGTATATATCACGGATTTTGAAGTCACGAAGTGACTCCAGTTGCCAGTATTAATTAAAGTAATTCTACATCCACCTCCTCTCGTTTGGGATGGGGGGTAATTTTATATACTAACCTGATGACGAGATCAAATATCTGTTTCTGAAACGTCACAAAAACTTAGTAATGAACTTAAACCTTTACAACCTATTATTAATATTCATTTAAATAAGAAAATATGGACTCCATATTTTTTACAAATTAATCTTTGCATTCTCACGTTATCTTTCATTTAACCCCCCCCCCCCCACCGGAATCTGAGGGGGGACGGTAGATGAGTGACGGATGCCCCCACCCGGTGATCACCCACCGGATGATTATTTCCAATATCGGCTAAGCTGTTTTGCCACGGCGGGGTGGAGGGAGGTAACCATGGCAACGGGTGCGTACTACTGTACCATTCAAGGGGTTGTCGATACGCCAGTCTCTCCTTACTCGTGGTGGACTAACGTGCAACTCACCCCCCGCGGATATATCATCATACCGGGTGAGTCGCTTATGATGTATGACAGATATATCATAGTGTCGTAGGGCAAGGTGGGAAAAAGGGGATAGATTTAGTTATTTGTACGGGATCAAGTGGAAATTACCGATTAACAAACAATATAGGTTAACATTGAGTTCGAGATGAGTGGAAAATACAATAACGGAAACACTATGGTAGAATAGCAGGCAGTAATGAATATGGGATAGAGTGAAAATAAACTTAACTAAACAAACAGTTAGTGTATCAATCTTGTAGATTATTAGCTTGATTTTGGTAGAGATTTGCCCAATGTGAAGTGGAAAGAACAGAAAAATATAACCTAAACAGTATATGTTTCTTACCTTATAAATTAGTAATGCAAGTATCAAAATATCTTTGCTGTATACAATATACATAAAGGAAACTGCAACATTATTACTTAACAGTTGGGTTGGTATTTAACGAATGAACACGCTATTTTACACACGTTTTTAATACTATCAGTGAACACCTTAAGTGTCCGAGAAATATTAATTCTTAGTGAAACCGAGTGTCCTAGAAACGAAATAGAACGGTACATTACAATGTAAAAAGTTGGAACTAAAAGTGAATTTGTCTTCGAGTGAAAATTAAGAATCACATTTGAATTGCAGATGAAAAAACATATTTTTAGTAAGTACAGTAGGCCTACTATAAAATTATATCTATAAAATCGTAAACCGTTAGGAAATAAATATTGATTGGAGCAAATTGTTCCATATTTGTAATGAGTTACTTCTAAGCTATCTGCATCTTCAATAACTTTTTTACATAGTCATAAAATCTTAATATACCGTACACAAATCTACGCGGATATGTTTCGTGTTTTGTGTGGTCCTAGAGATGGATTGACAACATCAAAAGGTACATAGTTAGTATCTACCAATTTAGAAACTGTTCACACCAAACATTCTTAATGGGTTTTTTTTCATGGAATGTGAATATCTATAAGTAGTTTAGTGAGATGTGTAAAACATAGTTACGTTTGGAGTAGCCCAAGTCTGTGACAGTAGTACTCGCTGGGTCATGCGTAAGGTGTATGAATGGATTAAGAACCTACCTTGTACATTTTACCTAATGTTAACTGCAATGTTAGAAAAAGTTTTAAAAAGGATACGATGATCTCAAGTTTGGATATCAAATCATAGATTATGAAGGGTTAGGTTAGGTGAGACCCTAAAGTTAATTTCCATGGTGAGTCAAATAATTCTTAAAATTGTAAAATAATTTTCTAAGAAACATTTGTTATGCTTTTCTTAAGCTTAGATGTTATTCTTCATTTCTAAGTGTATTTTTAAAGACATGCAAAACACAGTATGCGTCAACGATGAAATATATAAATATTAAGGGACCTATTATAAAAAAAAATTAAATATAATTTTTCCTTTGGTCTGGCTCCAACACATGTTTAGGGTTTCAGAATATTAACATATGCTTTTTAGATATTTTTGTTTGTTTATGTTGTGTGTTCACGTAAAGAAATATATAACTGTTATACTCAATTAATGTGCTCTTAATTATTTTTTGTATTTTTTTATCTCTCAAAGTATTTTTCTCTACCTGTTCTTAATAATTCTAAATTTCAAATCTCAAGACTCCTCAAGATTTATAGGAAGAAAAAAATAATTAAAAGTAAGATCTTTTCTCAAACACATATCATTTGGTACTACTCAAACCTGATGCTAAATTCTGTTCTCAAATCACTTACTATTTCCCCTCTCATCATTCAATTACTGTATACCGAAAAAAGGGATTTTTTTGGAAATGAAGCAAAACATAATGAAATTGCTATTTAAAAGTCCGGTATCATGTTAAGTTTATATCTGTATTTGTCAAGCTACAAAGTCCGGGATTCAATTCTCAAGATATAATTAGAAACGATCTAAATTCACTGATTTATTTGAATTTGAGAACTCTGTAGTGGAATCAGAGGTGATTACGAGACAGCTTGATACATCGGCTGTCCAGATTTTGTGCCATTGTAAGATGGATGAAGACTAAACAGTGTCCTTTATCGTTTTGTATTCTATATCCATCCGATATACTTTTATAAAGCAGCTCATCCTATCGTTTGTACTGCGTTTCACAGATATTTCAGTATTAAATTGTATAATGTAGGTGGATGTAGATTATTATAGTTTTACAAATGAGATTCAGTTAGAAAATAGAATATTGAATATTATAGTTCACATTTATTGTACATCTACCATATAACTAATGCATTATTATTTATTGTTTTTAGATAACGTTATTGGAATTATCCTAGGTTAATCCTCGGTTTATTGCTATAGATAGTTTAGTTTAAGCTTTGTTTTATCTATAATGCTCTACATTCAAATCCATCGTTTAAAGTAGTGATTATCTGTTTGCTTGAACATTATCACAGAGGTCGTTTTTATTATTAATCAAAGTAAATTTGGCAGGTAATGTTGGTACGACAGACCTATGAGTAGGGATGTATGCAGCACCAAGTTTAAAACAAGAACTTTATTTTAAAATCGGGGTTTTTCCATGTTGAAACGCAAATACTATTTAATACTTATTATTAAACTATTATTTAATAATGGGTTTATACTGTATGGTTTAGTAATCCAAATTTAAATATTTTTACTTGTTTAAAATTATGAAGGAACAGAGATGAAATTTTGTAACGATTAAACAACAATCTAGCACCGCCGCAAGCAATAACTCTGTAGTACTTAATCCACAATACAAAAACATACAATACGCTACACAACTGTATTATACTAACAATAACAGCATCGTAGTATTTGTTGTATTTACATAGTAATTACCTAATTACATTACCTGCTGAGGGTTAATTTGTAAAACTAGACTCAACAATAGCGTGGTCGACATCATAATTACATTTTACATTATTATGCTCCAGTCGGAGTGCTTAATGTAAATTTGAATTACTGAATTAAATAAGTTACATAAGTTTTTAAGAGTGTCGAGTGTCCAACAAAACTAATTTTTACGTAAATGTAATTAGATTCACTAATTAGCAATTTCTAGCGAGAATTAAATGCATATACTCTAAACGTAATTTACATTTTAGCAGATGTTTCGTTGGCTACAAAATACTTAGCTAAGCACTAAGGAGGGATAGGCTACATGGTGCAGACTGTTTTTAGCGCCATTTCACAGGCTGGCCACCTGCGCGCGATAATGGATTCACCATCTCTAAGATAACTTGAACAAAGTCCAACAAAATAAAAAAAATAAAGAATTACAAATATTAGATTTATACGTGCAACGAAGCTTGGCCCAAACCTATAAGAAATGTGTTATTTTATTAAATGACGAATCAATAATATAATTAAATCAATAATATTATAATATAATTAAATTTTATGATTATTTCTCAGATTTGGTATAGTCTCTTAAGTACAGATTATATTGTATATGATGTAAATCTGATCAAGGACGTGGAAACGATTAAGCATTTATAAAAGATGTACTAAAGTACACACTATTAAGTCTATTAACTATTTAAGTCTATTTCCGGTGTTTTTTGTTTTGTTTTATGAGCACAGAGATGTAACTAATTGTTCGTTAACTCAAAAGATCAAGAAAAGTTGTGATTGGTTTGGAATATACATGCCTTAAAAACACCTCTAGGTTTATAGGGTATTGCGAATATTTATTTTTCAAAACCCCCTCTTTTATCATGGAGTATTTATGAAAACATTCTGCAAACGTGTTTATAAACGATTGCATACCTCCAAATTTATAAAATGCTTGTATATCCATATAAAATGATTGATGTTTCATTGGTCGTATGCTACCATCATACCACCAATAAAACATTAATACAATGTCGTCTTCAAAGCTAGTACCAAATCATTTTAAGTTTAACGATTTTTCCCAAACACTCACACAAACTTACACTAACACACACACACACACACGACACAGTATAAAGGTTGAGCCATGTTTTCATCAGCGGCTGGGAGCTGGAGATTGGTTCAGAGTTAAGCGCATTAGTCCAATCCGGCAGACTGATTGGTTAACTGTTCGGGCTTCGTTTATAAAAAAAATGATTTAAATTTAAACTAGTTATCGACCATCAGGATAAAATGGAAAAAAGCAAGAATAAAAGTATTCACAAAATGTTTGTACGTTTTGCTAAGGTAACTATCGTTCAATTGAGTTTAATAATTGGCATATGCCATGGTTAAACTGGCATACTACAAACGTTTATGGGACAATTATTATTATCAATTATAAATTATTAATCATTGAGATGGGGACGCCACCTACTAGTAGGTGCGTATTTTAACCCAAATATGAGTGAAGGATTAGTGTAGAATGGTGTGTCAAATGTCATAATTACATTTGCACACCATGTAATATTATAATGGTTTAATAATTGGTTTTTTATTTATTTAGTGAATTAACAAACCTGCGTAGCTTTGTTACTGACTAAGATCAGCTGTTTATAATGTTTACTTTCCGGTTTATTGATCTAATCATGTCTGCTGACAAAATAAATAGTAATGAGCAATCTTTTTATTGGAATTCATCCCAAACAAGCTTTCATCAATGATAAATTAATATTCTAAGACGGAGAGGTACTTGTTAATTGTTTTTTTTTTCAATTTTGAGTTAGTATTTAGTAATATTATAATTTATTTAAAAGTGGTTCGAATTTAAAATGTCAATAGTAATTAAAATGGAGATAAACGTGGAGACAAACACTACAAATTAAGTGATTAAAACTAATACGAATACCTTTCTGTTTTTGAATTGATTTCAAGGGTTTTCCAACACATTCAAAACGTAAATAATCAGTAGTTCATACTTTGTTCTTAAAGTGTATTAAATATTATAATTTTCAAATCGTAAGAGTGATGTTAACTGTACAAAACAATTTATTAAATTGTTTACTTATATATTTATTGTTTTACAATATTAGCCTTTATCAAGAAAAACGCAACAATTCTAGTTTTTCTATTAGGTTTACTGGATAATTTTAA